CCGCCCGGGGCCTGCCACTGCCATAACCCCCGCTGCCACTGCTCTGTCCTCGCTGTGGCGTGGCCTGTCCCTGGGAGGTCTCTGGGGGGAGTACGCCCTCCCCGCCACACTGTGGACCCTGTCCGCCCTGCCGCGGACCCTCCCCGCCCTGCCGTGGACCCTCCCTGCCAGGCTGTGAGCCCTCCCCGCCACTCCGTGGACCCTGTCTGCCACGCCGTGCCGGGGGCCATGCCGGCCACACTGTGGTCCCTCCAAATCCTTCTCCCCAGGGTCCCTCCCGTAGCTACCGTAAGCCTCACAGTTGGAAATTAACTCGGCTACAAACTCTGACCGGTCTCCAGCCTGGGTCCTTGGGTCCGGGCTGCTCTCCTAACTGCGATGGGGCAGTCCCACTCTCCAGATCCACCCGCTCCTCATGAAATGGAAATGACGCCCCCATCTGGCAACCCCGGGGGGACAGAGGTTCTCCCTTAGCACGGCAGGTCTGACCCCTCTGGCCCTCTGGGTACATGAAACATGAGCCTGCAGCACCCAGGACTCTGCTTCCTGGCTGGCCTCCCTTCCTTCTTCCCCACCCACTGGGAAGACCAGACCCAACAATCCCTCCCCCAGAGACAGTGGGCAGGTGGCTATAGACCTGGGGCCAGGCCACCGGGCTGCTCCTGGCTCCTGGTTCCTAGGGGGTCACTCTGGCAAGCTCACTGTCCACCCTGTTTCCTAAATGGGGCCTGGGCTTTGGTTCACTCAAGCGCTGGCCAGACAGCAGTGCCTGGCACAAAGTCCAAGTGGCGCGCTGTCTGCTATGGGCCTGTCACCCTCACCAGGGGTCCTCTCTCCCTCCTGGGTGCTGCAGGCACTACCCTCTGACCTGGGACCCCCTCCTCCACCCTAGCTGCCACCCCCTTCTCCCCTCGGCTTGGCGAGTGATGCTGACCCAGCACCCTGCTCATCCCTGGCATGCACCCTGGCCCCGCACCAGCCTTCTGCCACACGCTTTATTTTTTACCTTTCTTTCTCTCTCCCTAGTCATAAAATATGATTTAAAAATAGCATTAGGACCAGCAGGTTGCAGACTGGTTAAGGTGCTGGATTTCCACAAGGCCAGTCATGGTTCAAGTCCTGGACCTGGCAGCTTGAAAATCACACCCAGCACATGTGCATGTGTGCCGGAAATCCCAGGAGGAGAGTGGAGGAGGACTGCGGTGTGGACATGCCCTCTGGGGAGTGATTTCTCACTTTCTCTCTCACTGTCTCTTTCTGCTGAGCACAGGTACCCTATGGAAAAAAACTTAAAAAAAAAACCAAAAAAACCAAAAAACGGTCATTCAGGGGCCAGACAGTGGCAGTGACAACACAACAGCCTGCAGGGTGCTGGCCGGGAAGGGTCCTGGTATGCATTTCGATGCCCGGGGGTCTGGCAGGAAGTGTCCTTGACCTGGGGTTGGCTGAGGCTGGGGGTGGACTGCAGTGTCAAGGCCCTGCTGGGAGTGCTGTCTCTCTCTAACCTTAAAAAAATACAATAGATAAATAATTTCCTTTGAAATTTCCATAATGTACTGTCTGGAAAGAAAAAATGATTGTTTCACCCACCGAAGGTCAATTATAGAAATTATATTACCTAAAGAATTTTATCCTAAAGTACATGCTTGGAGAATGTACTCTAGAGAAGGGAAAATTCTGTGAAAGAGATTGACGAGTGGCATTATAAATAGTAGTAAGCAAAGAAAATAGCAAAACTTAAGAGTTAAATTTAAATAAACCTTGTTGCACAATTTGAAAACAATGGCTGATAAATTAGAACTAAAATTTATGATAATCTATGTGAGGGTAGGGGCCAGGAAAAAGTAAGTTACTACTAAAGTTATTGTCTCATTTGGGAAGAAGTGAAAGATCCTAATTATATCATACACCGATAGAAAATCGTAAGTGTACATACATGTACATAATAGCATAACCTCTAGGAGAACAGAAATGAAACTCCCAACATCCTAATAAACAGAGGAAAGAAAAACAGAACATAGTAAATGGGACTAGCCCAACAAAAGGCAAAAATAAACTTAACAAGTATAAGCAAGTAAAATAAAAAGAAGACATGAAATAAGATGGCAGAAATAAGTCTATGACCAATCACAATAAATGCAAATGGGTTAAATTCACCTGTTAAAAATAGACACTTAACAGAAAACCCACTTGTCTGGGGAACCAGCAGTTAGCGTAATGGCTATGTTGCTGGACTCCCATGTAGTTGACTGCGGGTTGCATCCCGGACCCAGTGGCTTAAAACTCACGCCAGGCGCATGTGCGTGTGTGCCCAAGATCCCAAGAGGAGAATGGAGGAGAAGGGATTGCGGCGTGACCATCCCCCCCGGGGGGTGATTTCTCACTTTCTGTCTCTCTGTCTCTGTCTGGCGAGCGCACGTGCCCTATA